GTTATATAATTTTAAAAAAATTGCATCAAAAGACCTTTTCATTTCTCTAATTTTTTTAAATTTATTATCCTCGTGTTGCTCAATTTGCATATTAGTTTGGTAAGATTTACATCTATAAGATTTCAAAATTAATCCCTGTATATTTAGGGAGTGCATGATAACTTTTTCAGAATTAATTAATTTAAAAAAAATTTCAATGAACAAAAATAGTTCGAAATAATATTAGATAAAATTAATTTATTTTTTTATTTTCAGGAATGAACCAATTTAATTTCTATTACGAGGAATAAAAAAACGAAGTAACTTATTTTTTTTTTTATTCGGGCACACAAAGAGAAACATTTCTCACTCATGTGCCTCCTTCTGTTTCACCAGGCCCCATCAAGTAACTTCTCTTATCCTCTCCTACTCTATGTTAGGGGTAGGGGTGATAAACAAATCAGGGACCTTTGACTCGACTCGTGAAGGCTTGAGCTTACATGTCTAAAATTGATTATTAGAACAATGCTTAAACTTGTATAAAAGCTCGTTTAATAAAAAGTCTCAGGCTCTAATTCAAAAGTTCAGCCTTAAAGCCTCTCAGGCTAGCCTAGTATACTAACTTTCATTTTTATGTTATATTTTTTATACTACTCATAATAACACTCACTTTCTCCTCAACCCAATATCCCATTTTACGTGTGAAACAGATTTTTTGAATGATTTTATTCTATATTACGCTCTTTAGATATACATTGAATTTTTGAATCTTTATGAAATTATTAGTGTTGTTGATTGTATATTTTGTTTGGATAAATTTTCGTTGTCTTGTTTTTTTTTTAACAAGCTAAACCAAGCTTTTGTTTTTTTTTTTTAGATTTTTATTTTTTGTAAATAAGTCAGGCCACAAGTCTTTAAACATAGGCTTAGCCTTTTAAGACCAAAGCTCAACCCAGCTCGGTCCATTAACACTCCTAGTTAGGGGCGTTCACGATTTGGATTGAAGCGATTTTGAAGTAAAAATCATATTATTCAATTCCTTCGGTTTGATCATTTTTTCATCTATTCGATTTGTATTTTTTTCAAATCTGACTCAATCCAATCCAATTTTATTCGATTTGGATTGGATAGGTTTTTGATTTTTCGAAAAGTCTAAAATTTCAGTCATACAAATCACTACCTATATCAAAATGAAGTCTTACAAAGTTACAAATGATTGAAAAATTTAAGTCTTCAAATTAAAATAAGTTTTAAAACTCATAAAGAGTTAAAATAGAGTAATAGACAATAAAAATATAAAACAAGGTAGTCTGCTATCAATAGCATCCAAGATTCCAAATCTACAAAACAACAAGATTTCAAGTCATCATCTTTCTCTTCCATACTTCATTCACCCTTTTAGCTAGCTCAATGCTCACTTTGTGCTCTTCAAATCAACCACCAATGCAACAATTTTTATGAAAATAAAAGATTAAGAGAGGGTTCAAGCAATAACAAATTTAAAAATAAATACATGAATGATTGAAATTAAAAAATAACAACTATAATCATCAACTTTTAATCAGAATCTGTACCAGAATCATCATCAACTTCTGTATTTGAAAAAATATCTAAAATAATTATAATAAAATATTGTTAGTAACTTAATAATTCGAAAAAAAAGATGATATAAAATAAAAAATTATAAAAGTAAAATAAAGTAAATTACCTATATCCATCTTTCCAAATTCTTCTATAAACTCTTATTTTGTGCACAAATTAATGCTTCAACTGTCTTTGGAGTAAGAGAACTCTTGTGATCGTTAATAATTCTACTCCCAATGTCAAATGCTTGAATACAGATTCAGAAGCAATTGTAGATACTGGCATAGCTAATACATCTTTAGCTATTAGATGAAGAGTAGGATATTTGCTAAAATTCATCTTCCACCAATTCAAGATATCAAATTTTTGAATTCATTTCTCTAGTGGCTCCATGAGATACACATCCATCTCATTTTTATTAAAGTGCTGACTCACAGTTATGTCCTTGTCAAATTCACTGGCAAATAGGGGTGTTCGCGGTCTGGATTGGATCGATTTTGGAAACAAAAATCATCTGATCCAATCCCTTCGGTTTGATCATATAATTATCCATTCGGTTTGGATTTTTTTTCAAATCCGATCCAATTTTTTTCGGTTTGGATTGGATCGGTTTTCGGTTTTTAGAAAATCCTAAAATTTATTTCATGATTATTGTGCAAATAACATCTTTTGTTGAAATACAAAAATATTACTAAACTATAATATAGTTTTTTTTGGACAATGAGATATAAAGCTCTACAAAGATAAAATTTTGTTGATGAGATGTGATTAGATTTTTTCTTGAGTTTAGTTAATGGGTTAATGAGTCTTGGGTTTAGAAATTTTTAGGTTATGATTAGGGAAAGACCCAAATAGGTAGAGGGAAATTAATATATTGGATCGGTTTTCATCAACCCATCAAAAAACCGATCCAATCCACTTAAAATTTGCGGGTTTTTTCGGTTTTTCGGTTTGGTTACCGCGGTTTGGATCAGTTGATGAACACCCCTACTGGCAAATGAAGAGTTATCAAATGCTGCCAAATTAGTGTCTTCTACCTCATGAACATCTTTGATGGAAGATTGAGAAAGATTATTTCCATAAAAATTTTTATAGCTATAGCTACTGAATTAGGGAAATAAAATTTCAAAAATAATAAATACATAATGCATTTGATCGATTTGGATTGAATCGATTTTCACTAACCAAATCTAAAATCGATCTAATTCAATTAAAATATGCAGTTTTTCAATTTTCGATTAATTCAGTTATTAATTTTTTGGTTTGGTCACTGTCGTTTGGATCGGTTGATGAACATCCTTAGTCTCTATGACTTCATCTCTTCAAAACATTATTCATCTTCCTCTCTCTCTTGGTATGAATTATTTATGCTTTAAGTTATTTGGATATCATGAGATTCAAATATATATATTTATCAATTCATCTGTTTCATTAATATTAAGGTAATAATATGGTATTAAAAAATGAGTAATATTTTTTATATATTTTAGTATTTTCATGAGGCAAAATATAATATTGTTTTAGTATTTTCATTGATTTAAAATATTATATTTTATTATTTTCATGAAATAATTATTATTTGTTAAATATGAAATTTTGGCATTTTAGTTAAAATATTTGTTGTGATTTGGTTATTTACACATTAAATGAAATTTTTGTAATTATTTCAAAAGTAAAGAAATAAATTTGTATTGTATTATCAAAGGTAATTATGTTTCTCAAAATAAAAATAAAACTTGTTTCCAAACGTATTTTTTTCTCAAGAAACTCTTCTAAGGCACAGAAATAAAAAAATATTTCTTTTCATAAACAATATTGGAGAACGGAATTGTTGTCATGCACATTCTTATTTATGTAAAATAATTTATTTTGTAAAAACAAATTTTAAAATTAACTTATAAAATCAATTTAGTTCATTAAAATGACATAAATTAATTTTTTTATGATTTAAATTTTGTATAATAATTGTTGAAAGGAAATTAAGATTTAAGAAAGTACGCCAAAATCAAATGCAAAACAAAAACCTCACAACAGGAAGATCAAAAGCCTAAAGACAATAGAAGTCTTTTGGACTTCTTTGAATTCTGTTTTCAAAAATTGTTTTTGATTTTCAGAACACAAAAAGAAAAAAAATTATTTGATAAAGTTTATTTTGTAAAAATAATTCTAAAAATTATTACTATTTTTTAATTTTTAGAATCAAATCTAATTTTTTTTCTTATTTTGTATTTTGATTTTTAATTTTCAAAATAAAAAATACAAAAAATATCTATTTACCTAACTAATATATAAAACAGTTTTAAGAAGAAGAAAAAATCAAAACACAATCAATTCTCTTCCTGTTATAATGTCAAGGTCAAATCAACAGAATGGAAAAATCAAAGTTTCAAACAATGGAAACGCGAGAAAGTTTCAAGCCCAGAAACGCTAGTTATTACCTTTCGATATAGTGTATTTTCGTAATATTTCATTATACAGTCATTTATGTACCATTATTTGATTATTATTTTTCTTAGAAACATATAAATCATGGGATAGGATATTGTGACAACCAAATAATGTTACTATCAATGTTACTACCACATCTTAACCGTTGATTTCCGTCAATCATCGGTTATCATTTTTTGCGAATTAATAATTAATTAATGAATTTGATTTGAAAAATGATAACCGTTGATTGGCGGAATCAATGGTTAAGATGTGGTAGTAACATTATTTGGTTGTCAAAATATCCTATCTCATAAATCATTTATGATTTAAGTCAGATAGTTATTTTATGAGAGCAAAGGTAACCGACCGTATGAGCTTAACGGATACATACGTTAGAGAAATATAAAATTATTGATAGTTCTTCTTCATTAAGACTTGAGGGAATATGTTAGATAATCTGAAAGGATGTATTAAAGAAATATAATATCATTGGTGAACTTTCACTTAATAACTTAAAGTTTTTTTGTTTTTTTTTTTCAGAAATCTCCCCATCCTTTTAGACAAAACTAATTCCCTTCATGATATACAACGTGAAGGTTTTTACCATTAGCCCTAAAATTTGCCTAGGAATTAAACCACCAATCTTTTAGCCACATCAATACAATTATTGGGCATTAAATCAAATGATTACTTTATATGATATCGGAATCCATTGAATAATAATATATCAAAGCCCTAAATCCAAAAATATAAGTGATTAATTGAAGCTGTCACGATCAATTAATAATTTTTAGAAGAAACTAAAATCCTTGTCACCTTAAACCACAAAATAACCATGCGGAACTAGAACCCGATAACATAATAAGTGCTAGGGGAAATGATTTATGCCTTTATGGCAGAAAACATTTTTAAGCCACGAGAGTGAAATTTATAAAATAATATAACTCCCTTCTTTTCTTTTTTTCCTCATTGTCAGAGAAATGTTTTGTGCTCAAAGGGAGAAATTAAGGTACTTGAGAGATCTAGTCGTGTTGGATGAAAGAAACGAATTTTTGCAATAATTCCCGAGCCTTTTCTTGTTTGGGATTGAAAAGATGAAAGCAATGTTCCAAACCCCAATTCACAACAAGCTCAGCATTCCCACACCATCCACTATTCTTAAGCTCCTCAACATAATTCCTTCCAGCATGGAACAAGTGGTCCTTCTCAGCTGCAAACACCAACACCCTCTCACACCCAAGCCTGCCCAGATCCTCTGCCACCGGTTTCAACCTAGGATCATCCAACCCCTCGTTCTCTGGAAACATGTACAGCCACATCTCATCGTCCTCCGAACCCGCGAAAAACGGGTGGACCAAAATCGCCCCGACAACCTTCACGTCCGGTAACCCGGATTTCCCGACCCGACTCACCAATGTGTGGGTAATGTTGCCGCCGGCACTGTCGCCGGCGATGATAACCCGATTCAGATCGGCGTGGTTGTTCAACCAGGTCTCGGGTCCGTTTCCGCCAGCGTGCGAGGCGACCCACTGGAGCGCAGCCCAGGAGTCCTCGTAGGGAGCGGGTAAGGGTCGGGTCGGGAACAACCCGTACTCTACGGAGACAGCGATGACGTTGGCTTCGGCGACGATGGTGGCGACGTGGTTGTGGTAGGTGGGGGAGAAGGCGGATTGCATGCAGAAGCCGCCGCCGTGAACGTAGAGGAGAAGGGGAAGTTTTCTGGTCGGGTGGGTTATTTGGGGGAGGAATATCCGAACGGAGACGGGTGGGTGGGTGGAGATTATGGTGTCTTTGGAGCGGACACCGGTGGCGGGGTCATCGAAAGGTTGAATCTTTTCGGTGGTGGGTCGGAAGAGCTCCACTGTGCCGTCTTTGTAGACGCGGAAAAAGCGAAACTCATGGGTTATGTCGTTGTCTTTTGCGGCCATTTTTGCAAGCGTTTGTGTTTGTTGCAGTAGCAAGTGAGAGTTATGTTCAGTGAATGATGGGTTATTGCTTATTTATTGATGTGAAGGCGAATCTTCCACTATCTGTCAACCGAACTTCTATGTTGAATTTCAAGAGAAAGTCAAGTCAAGAAAGATACAGATGAAATCCATGGATGTGTTTATAATTTTTTTTTTTACTAATCATATTAAATATGATCGGGTATACATTTTTGATTAAAGTAGGATCGATATAATATAATTTGTAAGAGTTTATAAATAAAATATTTATAAACTATAACCTTTTCCTAAATGAAATAAATTGAAAGTTAAAAACAAAAATTAAAAGGTTATATGATAAAAGAATAAATATAAAAAATTACCATCCTACAATGATAGTGAAAGAATTTTATATTGTTAATAGATCAGGTAGAAACAATTATATGTAAATTTTGAAAGAAAAAAAATGTGCTATTTTAAATGATATATTTTATCTCCTTTTACTTAAGGTGAAATTCACACTTTTGAAATTTTTCCTTCTCACTCTCTTTTTAATAATGAGAAATAATAGTTTCATGTTATATAAAAAAGTTATCTTATGTCATACAACTATAGAATTTCGTGCCAATTTTTTATTTTCTTTTTCTTTTTCTTTTTACATTGTAGACCCCACATATTTGTGTCACCCACATGAAAATATCATCTCATGTAACATGAGATTAATAAACTCTTTCAATAATTTGTCTCTTTTTCTTATTTAAAATAGAATAATTTTATATATTTTAAAATGATACACATTTTTCACATTTTGAAATGTAAGTAGAAGTTAGGCTCATTGACCGATGAGTAAGAATGGTAAAGTAACGCAGTTAGGAGGAGGTGCTAGCCTCCCTCCGAAATAAAATTAATAGAAATATTATATTGCACAAGGAGAGCCCCTACTTCTCTTCGTTCCACCGAATGATGGAATCAAATTGTAGTTGCATGTCTTAATATGAACATTTGACACTACATTATAAGAGTTAATTTCCGTAGATTTAATGGTTATAATTTATTAAAAATTATTAATTAATTAATTAATAAATATAATTCAATAATTATAATCATAAGATTGACAAAAATCAACGGTTAAAATTTGATGTCAAATTTTTTAGTTTGACACTTATATCAAAAAATCATATTCTTAAAGTTCTTCATGAGATCAGAGGATAAATGATGCGTATGATTATTTTTATCGCTTTGTTCATTTGCTTTCTACATATTAATAGATAAAGTTCGGGTTAAATTAATGAAGAAAATTGTAAATCTAATCAACCAACATTTAAAATTGTAAACAAAATTTGAAGTTAGTTCGAAATTAATAGGGAAACGAGTTTGTCATTTTAAAAGACACAACTTTGTCTTATTTTAAATAAAACAACCTTATTTTGATTTCTATTTATTGGTATTTTATATTTTCTATCCTCCATAAAATTATAAAATTAGAGTATTGTGAATGAGAGAAAATATAAAAAATAACAAAATGCACCAAAACACAATTATTTTATTTAAAATGGCGTAAAATTATATCATTTAAAATGAAAAATAATTTTTCATTTTATTTTCCTCCACAACAACCAATTGGCCATATAGAATGTATTAAAATTTATGAAATTATTAATTTTTAAATGATTACAATACATGATTAAATAATTAAATTTTTTTCACTAATTATAACTTATATTACAATTATTTGAATACGAGATTGGAGAAATTAAGGGCCTGTTTGAATTCCATTTTTAAAAATAAATTTTTGGTTTTCCAAAAAAAAAAAAATTTTTGATAAGGCCTTTTTGTAAAAATAGTTCTAAAAATTATAATTGTTTTTTGTTTTTAGAATCAACTTTAGATAATATGTCTGAAATGTTTTTATTTTACGTTTTTGACTTTTAACGTTTAAAACATAACAAAAAAAAATACAGAAAACATATATTTTCATAATTATTCTACAAAACAGTGTTAAGAATAAAAAAAAAAAAAAAAAAAAAAACTAAAATACAATTAAACAAGCCTTAAAATGCTGGGGAGGGGACTCATCGGGTGTGTGTAAGGGGTAGAAGAAAATCCTGAAGGAGAAAGGGTTCAAGTTCAAGGATGCATTTGAACCATGCATCTCTCACCTATGTGAAAGGAAAGCTCCACGTTAAGCATTTCATAAGGACACATTATGTGACAATTACATGATTTTTATTTTGAAAAAAGTGATAAATTTTCACATGACATTTTAGAAAATAAAACATGAAATTGAGCCTTTCACACGTGATAAATTAAAAAAAATTCATAATTCAAGCAGGTGCTAAGGAATGAGAAGGAAAAATTTTCTTGAGCTTAATAGATACAATGAAAAATTAAAATAGTTTAACAACTTAAAACATAGTTGATGAACGACATTTTTAGCTATGAAATATCATCAAGAAAATAATAAATCAGGCTACTCTAGTCTAGTAGTCTCATTTGAATCACGCCACCAACTTTTCTTTGCTTCAGATGTTCGCAATTGGGCTTTTCCTAATTTCGCAAGTAATCTTACCTTATTCTCCGTAACAATGTATAAATTATAATCAGTTTTGCAATATAATTTTTTGATTCTCCGAAAAAAAAAAAAAACCCCATTTGATAAGATTTATTTTGTAAAAAAAGTTTTAAAAATTATAATTTTTTGTTTGTTTTTAGAATCAAATTAAGAGAACATATGTAAGTTATTTTTATTTTGTGTTTTGACTTTTAACTTTCAAAACCAAAAAAAATAAAAAACACATATTACATTAACTATTCTCCAAAATAGTTTCAAAAGCAAAAAAATCAGAACACAGTCAAACACGTACAAAAATCTTTTATTAGGTACTTTCAGAGTCTTAGCGTTTTGATGTGAATTTTATGCTCCTCAATTTTCCTTTTTAGTTAACATTTAAAATAAATAGTAATAATGTTAAAGAGTTTAGTATAACTATACAGTTTTATTTCAAATATATATATAACTAAAATTTAGGAAGTTAAAGAATATTCCAAAAAATATACAGCTTCAGAATTATAGCTATTATAATTTAATATTTTAATATTTAATTTTTTGTATTTAATTTTTAATACTAAAATTAAGACAAAAAGAGGAAATTTAATTCATAATAATTATTAGTTGATTAATTAATGATACAAAATATGAAAATTATACCCTGAGTCAGCTTTTTCTTTTGTCATACATTTTTTCCTTTCTCATCAATATTAAATAAACAGATACATGAAGACATTTTTTAAAGCGGCCTTTTCATTAAAATAAATAATTAAGAGTTACACTTTAAAATTATCCAGTAAGTTAATATTAATAGATTATAGTATATTTTAAATATAATTATATGTGTATTAATTACTTAGATTAAGTTATACTTACAATCTTATTTCCTTACTACCTCCTACAATCATTTTGTTATTGTTTTATCAAAATCATATCTACGACACTTCCATTTTGTAACCGATGGTGTAATTTTGAACTAACCATAAAAAAAATGATTGAAAGGATAAAAAAAATTATAAGTTTAACATCCCTTTAATTACTTTAAACCTTAAAATATCACTTTTTAAGGATTTTTTTTCTTATGTAATAATTTTAATAAATAATCATTTCTTCATGCTTGCGTGGTGAACCGTGTATCAAGTGGGATGCCCAATGAGAGTGAGGCTAAATTTTATAAAGCCTACTCCACCTCTCGTTTTATCTAATGTATAATTCCCTTATCCCACATATCCTTCATATTCTCTTACATTTTCATATTCTCAACTAACTTTTTATTCATTATACCATAAATTCTTCATAAGAATTCCAACAACAGAATCATCTTTTTAAAATTTTGTTAATATTTTTATTTTTTTTGTAAATCTAGAGGGAAAAAATCCCAAAACAAATCAAGTCAAAACAATCTTACGAAAATAACAAATAGAAGAGAAATCAGCCAAAAAAATGGCCAAATACCAGAAGCATGGATAGGAAAGATACACAAATCATTTTCTAACCGGTAGTCAAATGAATACTTAGAGAGCCATTCAGCATAGCCATTACTTAATGGGAATAGGAAAGATACACAAATCAAGCCATTACTTTGTAGGTCCCTAAGACATATAATTTCACCATTGTTTAATATCTTTCCATTATTAATCACCTTAAAAAAGATTATGTTAATTTTCTTTTAATTTTAAATGCTTTTTCACTCAAAATAATTAAATTTTTAATTTTGATAGTTTATAATCATAAATTAATCCTTTTTAAAATTTTATTTTCTTAAATTAGAAAGTACTATATTGATAATAGTTTAATCTGTTAGTCAACTCTCTACTAAAAAAACACACGTCTTTTCACCCAAAAAAAATAAAAAAAATACACGTCATTAATATGTTTTTAAAATTTAAATTTAAATGCTTTTAAATTATCTCTATATATAATTCTTGTAATTTTAAACATATATTAAAATTATTTTTTTTAAACCTTATTTAAAATTTGAAATACTTGTGTAATACAAATTTATTTACCACACGGAGCCCACGCGGCACGTTAGCTGTTGTTGTGTTTGTCAATTGGTACGTTATTGACATTAACATGACTAGTTGATAATTTTGGGAAAGGAAAATTAAAGTTAAAAAATGTCATCTCATTTAATAGTCAAAATATATTACAAATTTAATTGACAACGTATAGTGACATTTATAGAATTACCAATAATGTTCAACGTCAAGAATACAATTAAAGAATTAAATCTAAATTTTTTAAGATGATGATCCTATTAATTCAGCTAGTTTTTGTCGGGAACATATTATTTTCAATTGTTTTTTGTCCACACAATTCTATTATTTTCAGGAATTTATTTGTTAATAAATAAAATATTTAATATATTACAAATTTTAAAAAATAAAATAAAAGTTTATTTAATACTTTATAATTTTAATTCCTTATATTCATATTTACTTATAAGTAAAACCATAGTTGTAAAACCCGATCCGACCAGGCCGGGTCGATCCGAAACTCGGTGAATCGGTCATTGGATCGGTTCGGGTTAAGCAATGAACCGGTCACACATCGATCAGGTCAAACTCGGTCAAAACTCGGACAAAATCAGTCAAATTCGGTGACCCGGTCGGGTCATATATTAAAAAAAAAAACCAAAATTGTTTCATCTCTTCAAAAAAATGTAGAACTCATTTTAAAACTTTTTGTAATTTTATTTGCTAGTATCTTCTACAATGACCTCAAATTTTGACTGCTAATACTGAAGCAATTTGCGGAATAATATATTAAGAGGATGTGATATATGTCATTTTAATGTAGTTGAACTTGAAAAATATGAGTTCAATGTCATTGAGAGATATGTTTATGGGGATTCTGAGTTGCAATTTAAATTGACATAGTAATATCATTCATTTTTATTTATTTATGCTTCTTAATTTTGAATTTATTTAATGAACATTGTTTAATTCATTTTAGATATAGAGAATATAATTGAATTTATATGTTCATATTTTTATATATCTATATATATCCGAGTCAACCGATCCGACCAGTGATCCACCGATCTGATTAGTGACTCAGTCACTCAGTACTCCGACTGGATCGATACCTGGATTTAATAACCGCGAGTAAAACTCATATTTTGTTTACCGGAAAAAAAAAATCATATTTTCAAAGTAACTGTTCCAAACGTCTATTCGATTCATTAATTAATTGATAGCTTTGGAGGGTTGGTGTTGGACTTTTACGATATTTGAATTTTGAACATCTCACTTTTGGCCCACTACTCCACGGATTCGATTATTTACCTTCAGTTTATTCAACTCTTGAAACAGTTTCAGCAAATAACTAGTAAAAAAATTAATTAAATTAGACAAAAATTAGTAAAATTGGAGAAAATTAATAGCGAAGTCGCCCAGGAATGGAACCTCAGCCACAACGTTGATAGAGATCGCTTATCAACTGTGCCATATATTTGAGTTGTTTAAACTATTTTTTTAACTCAACTAAAAATGTTTCTTTCTTTATTTTATTTTTTTGAAAGATGCCAAGTTACAATTCATAGTAATTGATGGTAAATAGTCCTATCGACTCTACCAAAAATAAAAAGAAACCGAGCAACGGTAGCCAACTAGCGAGTGTTTGGTAGGGAAAAAAAATTTATTAGGAAATTTCAATTACTAAAAATATAATGGAAAATTAAGTTTTCTAGGAAGTTAAAAAAAGTTATTTGATAAGCCGAAATATTACACGAAAAATTAATTTAAGTTTCCTAAATCTATATTTGATCGAAGGTAAAATATTGTAAGGTGAAATTACGACGACAACCCTTGACTAAATAATAGTAATTTTTGATAGGCTGAATATAGAATCATTTTCATCAACTAATTTCGAGCTCATTTTTGCACTTTATCGGTAATTCAAAAATACCACCTTCTAAGTAATTCATAATTTTCAAACAAATATAAAATACTGAGCAAATTATTTTTTCTAGTTGAAATTTTTAAAACCTTGTACCAAATATAGAAATATTAAAATACCAGATCCATTGATATCTACAAATTAAACTCCTACCAAACGCACCTGCCCCTGTTGCCAAACATTCCTGATTTGGCTCAGGTAGAGATTGTTTTCCTTCGCTGAAAACACGCATATTTTAGAGTTGAGTAAATTGCAATCAGACTCAAGCTGTAACTTCATTATTACGTTTGAACGATTGAGCTGTTACGAATTTGCAATACAGAATCATTACTTACTCGATTTGAAAATCAAATCATGGTAACTCAATTAGCTCATGTATTCGATTTAACAGTACCTGAACAAAATTAACTCCCATGATCTATAAATAAAAAAGATATATTTTTATTATGTTGTAGGAAAAGAATTATCTCATGTTGTAGAAATAAAAGTATAAGTGGGACCCATATGTAAGAGGAGAGAGAAAAAAAAATGGTGGGACCAACTCCTTTTTATGTGTGTAAGAGAGATGTTTATCTCATATAAAATGAGATAAACATAACCCAAAGAAAAAAAACGACAATTAGAAAAGAACCCGGGACACATTTGAGAATGACGCTATTCACTCTCTCTCTCTCCCTTGAATTCCGTAAAAAAACGAAAAAAGAAAAGAAAGAAAACAGATGAATTGAAGATGATTCAAAACAAAACGGATTCAGTTCAGTCCACATGAATACATGGGAACTGTGGCTTACAAGTTAAAACCCAAAAGAAAAGAAAGAGAAAGAGAAAAGAAACAGCAAAACAACAACAATGATAATGATGACGATAATAAATTATAGGGCCTAATCTAACTCCAACAAACAACGTACGCTTGCTTTCGTTGCCTTGCCCTTCTAGACTTGTTTCATGAAAGAGACAAACTGTTTAACAAGAGCCGCAGAATTTTCCTTGGTGGGGTCGAACAGATGAAACACGTGGTCCTCTCCTTCACTCTCCACCATATCCACCACTCCATTCCACCCACTCTTCTTCAGAACTTCATAATAGCTCCTCCCTCTGTCCCTCAAAAAGTCCTTCCCCGCCACCATCACCAGCACCCTCCCGCAACCCAGACCCGAAATTTTCGGATCCCTCGTTGCGTGTATCTTCGGGTCATCCACCCCTCCATAAGCAGGGTACAAGAACTCAACCAGTTTGTCTCTCTCCTCGTTCCCGAAGTAAGGATGGATCAACACCAACCCATTCAGCTTCAACCCACCAAACCCTTCACTTGCGCCTCGCATCCCCATGCTGTGTGCCAGGTTTGCGCCGGCGCTGTCTCCGGCGAAGAACACCTTCCCGAAATCGGCGTGGTCGTTGAGCCACGGCTCGGGTCCGCCGCCGGAGGCGGCAGCGTGTGCGGCGGCCCATTGTATGGCTTCCCAGGTGTCGTCGTAGGCGATGGGGAGTGGATGCTCCGGGGCTAGCCTGTAATGCACGGAAACGACGACGACGTTTGCCGCGGCGGCGACGGTGTTCATGTGGAGGTGGTAGCCAGGGTTGTAAGGCGTGCAGACGCAGAACGCGCCGCCGTGGATGTAAATGAGAAGAGGGAGTTTCTGGGCAGAGGAAGCGGCGTTTGGTGGGAGGTAGAGGCGTGCTCCGACGCCGGTTCCGGCGTTGATGGTGACGTCTTTGGATTGAACGCCGGTTCGGGGGTCGGTGCCGGCAGGGGTGGTTTCGGTGCCGAGAAAGCGTTCAATGCGACCGTCTTTGTATTTACGGAAGAGGTGAGGGAATTCGACGAGAACATCACTGGAGTCTGGATTTGGATTTGGATTCATGGTGGAGATGATGATGATGATGATGAAAGCAGAGCAGAGAAGATGAAGAAAATTGGAGTGATGTGAGAATGGGAGTGTTTTGCTTTGAATATAAAAACAATGTTAAGAATTTTAGAGGCGTAGGAAACGGTCGTTGAGCAAAGAAAATGCCATAAAGAACGGTTTTTATTTTATTCGTGTGGCTCAACTCTTTTTATTTATTCATACTCGTGAAAACTCTAAAGTTAATTATTATTTATTGTATGGTTGACATCTGTGCCTTTTTAGTCGCTTAATAAATGCTGTTAACTTAAAATATATATATACATATATATGTTGTTTTAATCAGGTAATTAATAAATATTGATTATCAAAATTTAACTCGCGGGACAGCTTGTATAACGTAAGTATGAGTTTTTTCAATTTAGATAGAACACTTTCCTGTGCTTGGCATTGATTTAGGCTTTGGTGACGAAATGCATGTGGAATAAGCACTCTCTAACAGACCAATTTTCTTGGTTGCTTCGTCGCTTGGCCTTGTTTTGGCGGAAAACGGGGAGAGAGAGAGAGAGAGAGAGAGAGGCTATTTGGTGAAAAATGACAATGATAGAGAGAGAAAAACACACGGAAAATTGATTGGTAATTAATACTGATGCTTTTACGTCCTTATCACTTTTCGGTCTTGTGAAATATAACAAAGTCCAATCGTCGATCGTATCGGGTCCTATTGTTGAACTTGTTGCCATTTAATTCGCTACTTGCTAATCAATTCACAGGGCTACTTGTTAAGGCAATAAGTTGCGCTATTTAATATCCATAAGATCCCTTGTAATACATGCCTATCTAATTAAGTTTACTAAATTTAATATATCTTTTACCAAAATTTATTTTTCTTTTCAAAGTGATCATTTGTATTATTTTTTGTTGAATTATTTTTTATTAACTTATACCCTAATATTATAGTCTTTTTTTAGTTCTATTTTAAAAATCAATACAGTATTATTTTATATTTATTAATTTTTATCAACAACGGTTTTTTGACTTTTGAAGGCAATTTTTGTGGAATAAACTTCACGAAGAAATTCTAAAAATAAAGATGATATAGTTGTGTTTTTAAATTTAACCATTTTATTCTTTGTTTTAAAAATTAACGTGCATTAAATGATATTATTAATGACTTCCCAAGTGAATTTTATATAATAAAGAATGTATATTCTACAAGAACTACTTCTAAAGAAAAAGTCAAAATTCAAGAAACTCTTAGTAATAATGGGTAATTTGCTAAAAAAAACTCTTGCTTTGAAACTCAGCAACCTAACTATGTAAACTAACAAAATGTCCACTTTTCATATTGATCTCATTTTACGTATGCAGAAAATCCCTTACACGAATAAATATGTTTATGTTGTATTTGGTGAGTTGGGATGTCCTTTTGATTAGTTTCAAAACACAGGAAGTTTCTATACAATGACCACATTTTTCTTGAATTTAGAAATAGGGCTCGTTTATTCTTATTTTATAGGAGAGGAGCTGTTTTTTATTATATATATAAAGTGATGGGATCTACCATTTTAAAAATATAATATAGTTTTTAAGTGTGCAGGAAGAAAAATTAGTCTCTTTTCCCTTAGCAAAATGGTGAATTGTATGGCTAAACTAGTAAAAGGGACTGTACAGTTGACCTCGCGTTTGATACCTACCATGCTATCCAATCAACTAAGGCCCGTTTTCGCAAAACAAATAGTACAGCCGAAGGCAATTCGGCCTATAGGAAAGAAACAAGGGCTTTCTCGTTCACGTCTGAAGTAGCTCATTTCACATTCTGAACAAAGCCCACAAATCCAGCTTCATCTGTTCGTACTTTAATATTATTTTGTCAAAAACTGAAAAATAGTGCTAGTTTATCAATCTGCATCAAAAAAAAAAAAAACAATAAGAAAGATTTTAAGATACTATATTTGGGTTTGATGTTGGTCATTTTAAATGACATAAGTTATGTCATTTTAGGAGAGAGATAGACACAAGGAATGAAAAACATGTGAAAGAAAGTGGGTAGTTTTTTTTTAAATTTAAATTTTAAATAAAAAAATTATTTTGTGTCTATCTCTCTTAAAATGACATAACTTTATGTCATTTAAAATGGCACACACTTTTCTCATTATATTCTTGAGAAATATATTTTCCATGTTACATGAGATAAAATCTTACTATATAGAAAGGAGAACCAAATTTTGAAAATTTTGCTGACATATCGTTTTCTCCTTCATTCTCAGCTTTTTGTTCACACTTGAAAGAATTTGAAATGTTTCTTTTTTTGGAAATCTTTAAAATTCGAAATTTCAAATTGGTGGGTGGGAAGAATAATTCAAAATATATAGTGGAAGACACATATATTAATGATCTACTACTTTCTGCATGGGTAGGTGAAAAAGTATTAATATCTCATTACTTTTTGCATTGGTAGGTGAAAAAGTATTCAAATTCAAAATTTAAACTTAAAGGTGGAAAAAGAGTTCATCATTAATATCGCACTATTTTCTGTATAGGTAATTGTTAACCCTATTAATATCCCACTATTGGCTTAATTATTAAAAAAGCGAAATTATTTTGTGTATAAATAGAATATGTGTTACTAGGTCTTTTTATTTGGTAATTAGCTTTTGTGCATATGTTTATTCTCTTCTTTGTCTATTTATCTTCTTCATCTTATCAAGTTGTTCTTCTATTAGATAAACATGTAATATTTTTCATTTTTTTGTAGCACTATTGTAGAGTAAAGCTGACGGGATGATTTGTAATCACTAGAATATGTATTTCTTTACTTCCTCGGAGGAAGGTATGACATTCTTCTCTATTTGTTTTTCTTCTACAAGTATTTTTTTTCCATAACAGAATATCATGAACGATATGATATAATAAAATGTCCTTACTTTTAAATGATTAAATATTTATGTTTAGCCTTGGGCACTATCTCAAAATTCAACACGGTAAAAAATTCTCTTTTATCCAAAAGTCCTTATATTTTCTATCTTTAATACCTGCAAGAGCAAGATGAGTTTTCCCTTCTATTTTTTCTGTCCATACATAATTTGTTTCTCACTATTGTTGTTGTTCTTTAATTTATTTTTGTTCTTGACATATATGTTTACCGTGATGGTGGAAGTGATGAGTTTGATATGAATGATACTACTTCGACCTCATAAAACCATCATCTATTTCTTCAAAGGATGTTCGAAGTGTGCCCGATGTTAGACCAATGCAACTCAGCAATATAGTTTCAAATGGTGCTTTAGAAGAAGACAAGATAGAATAAGCTAGAATGTTGCTCTAATTCTATACTTTTGTTGCTAGAATTTTGTCCTCACATGTTTGTCTTAAATAAGCTATATATCTTTTAATATTCCTTGAACCAATAATTATTGTAGTTGTTACATGTATTGGTCTATTAATCATTGAAATCCTCCAAATTTAACTCAACAAGGATGAGGAGTCATTCAAATATTAATTCCTTTGTTTTAATTTTGAAAAATAAATAAAATTTAATAAAATAAATTTATATTAAAACACATACAAGCAAAAAAAAACGTTTCATATAATACATGTAACAATGAGCCACCATGTCTTGATCATTATGTTTTAGTAAACAAAGAGCCACCATGTCATTAGTTTTTTTGAGTGTCTTTATTTTTTTCATAAGATTATGCATTAAAAAATTTATATGGAAATGAACAAACGTTTTTAAATGGATATTCATGTTAATTAAATTACTACAATGGAAAAGGACAAGCCACCAATGGATTGTCATCTTAATAACGTTTCATGTACAAAAAGTAATCATGCATAATCATAGTCATCAAAAAATGGTTTGTAAAGTGTATTATGGTTGATTATTATTATTACGATTATGGAATACCAAGAGTTGCTTTGTTTCGTTTTACAACTAACAGTATTTGAAAAGGCAAACTCAAGCAATCTATCTATTCATTTTTATCATAATATCCCATCAAAATTTCCCGATACTGCATTGGAAAAGTATTTAGATAGCTTAGTTAAAAATATTACCTAATTAAAATGAGACATTATTTAGTAGAACTATCTTTTTTAATAAAGAAATATAGGAATGCAATAATAATATATAAAATCTTCATCCAAACTTTGGCAACTTTGATGATGTGTCACTCTCTCCTTCATTCTTAGGTTTGTGTACACACTTGGAAGAATTTGAAATGTTTCTTCTTTTGGAAATTTTTAAAATTCAAAATTTCAAATTGGTGGGTGGGAAGAATAGTTCAAAATATATAGTGGAAGACACATGTATTAATGATCCACTACTTTCTGCATGGGTAGTGGGAAAAGTATTAATATCTCATTACTTTTTTTAAATACATATGAATAACCAATTTAAAATAATATAAAAATTATAAATAAGTATAACTAAAGAATTGAATATATATACTTAAAACTAAAGTTTAATTACACTTATAATTAAATTTAATTATTTTAAATTGTATGTGACTTCAAAATATAAATCAGGCATAACTTATTATTTTTAAGGGGTTCTTTTTACTGTAATAACTGCAGATAACTTATTTGCATTAAACCCAAAATGACGTCATTTTGGGACAAAAATTAAGGTATTTTTGTAATTTTAATTTATTTCAGGTTATAATAGTCTTTATTATTATAGTTTTTTAATCTTTCAACCGAGAACGATGTCATTTTGGGAGTGAATGCATATAACCTATCTGCAATCACAGTAGAAAAATGTTTCTATAATTTTAAATATAAAAACCTATCACATGCTAATATAAAATATTGATAATTAGAGATGGCAAATTGGTCTCGACCCATCCTGTCCGCCAACCTATTTTTCTTCTTATCATATTTACTATCTAACAAACTCGTCTTTGTGTGGCTAAGTGTTTATTAGAATATTAAACATAATAACTCAAATATTTGTCAACTCTTCATTATATATAAATATATATATATATATATATATATATATATATATATATATATATATATATGCCACAAATGCACACACTTTAGAAAGTCGATTTAGAGACAACTATAAAAAACATAAATAGATAATAATATACATGCAACTATAAGAACATTTTTTGTTGATAAATATAAAAACATATTACATGTTGACAGGTAGAGATAGCAAAATGAGCTAAGCCCGTAGGGCCGGCCCACTCCTCCTAGCAACACTTTTTTCTTATATTTATTGTCAAACAAACTATGCCGACG